AAGGCCTAACTTTGATAATTAATTTTGAGACTATCGTAAAAGGAATAGGATTTATTTTTACAGGGTTTATTTAACATATATTGTAGTATAAACAAAAATTGTTACATTATAATTTTAGTACAAAATATTTTTTTAAAACACCTTCACGAGAGGGCGGTTTTCTCGTTGTGTATAACATTTGGAACAAAAAACCAACAAATTTCATAACATATATACTGTTGGCTATAGAAGTACGTAGGGTTTTGTTTTTTTAATGTAAACTTTTACTTTTGTTAACAATTTATTATTTATTTTTTGGTCAAAAAATGGGTTAGTGCGCTATTTCTACAATATTTGATTTAAAAAAAACCCTACTCACTTGTATAGCCAACAGCATATATATTTTAAAATTTGTTGGTTCTTTGTTCCAAATGTTATACGCAACAAGAAAACCGTCCTCCTGTGAAGGCCTTTTAAAAAAAGTTGATTTTAAAGACTCGCTTCGTCGCCGCCATTTTGTAGTAAAATTATAATACAACAATTTCTGTTTATATTTCGATGTGTGTTAAATAAACTGTATAACAAGAAACCCTATTCTTTTTGCGATAGCTTCAAAATTAATTATCAAAGTTAGGCCTTTTTTTCAGCCTCTAGAGTGGTATTACCCCTTCAATCAAAATTCTGGCCTCATTGTAACTTTTTGCCAGTACTAGCAAATGAATGTGTTAAACAAAAGTTTGCCTTATAAGACTCTAAGTAGAAGCTCTGACAAATTTAGCTATAGGGTACTTTCATCATTTAAAATTGAATTACCCTGCCTAAAAAAATACATATCCTTCATACTCAATCATTCCAACACAAACTTGCCAAAATTCCATCAGAATCAGAAGGGAATATTATCCTTGTGAATACCAATATAAACATTCGTGTTTCAATTTGATTAAATTTCGTTCGTAGATAGCAAGAAGTTCTTATTAACATCGATAACATTTCGATAACCATTCCATCTATCTACCTCCGTTAGTGCTTTCAGCTTGATTAGGAGATAATTTTGACATTGTGAGTAGCTCCCAGGAATAGCTATTTTTCATATTGCACGAAAGGGAATGCAAACTCACGATGACAAGTTCTGATGAAATAAGGAACATGTGTAATGGACCCCGTTTATAACTATTTTCGAAATTTTCCGAGTGAAATTGCAGCGAAAACTTATGACACTATTGTTTCTGGCTCAACGAACTTCCTCGGATAATTGGTCTATAACTAAGAGAACCTGCAGGCTTAGGAGCATGGTTTATGAACAGAGGCAGATAGATAAATCTACGTGTAACGGTTTAGACATACTCCACTAGGGAGATTTATTATTTTATCCGAAGAAAGCATTTTAAACAAATTTTAAGAACATAGTTTATGATCAGAAGCAGGCAGATACATCTATGAATAATATATTTGATATACTGTACTAGAAAGCTTTATTGTGTCACTCGAAGGAAACCTTTTAAACAAATCCTTTATGGTTTTGGATAGAAATAATAAAAGAATTAACGAGTTAGTCATAAAATCACTTTTATTATCGACACTCTCAAAAGTTTTCGAAGGAGGATGTTCTCAAAACTTTCTATAAATACCTTCAATTTCAAATAAAGCCACCAAATATAATTATAAATAATTTCCGTGTTTTAACTCACAATTTATTTAAACATATATTATTACATTACCTGCCCCCCCCCCCATGGTTTCACCCGCGTGGATAACTATTCTTATTCACGTAGGTGCAATAATTACTGTAGTGCCTTAATGCCAAATAATTTTGGCCTGATGCATTTTTTCCTATCATCAATAGCAGTCTAATTATTCCGGTGGCCGGTTTTAGGCGCCTCACCCAGTGTATATTCAACCTCTTTAAATATATTAAATATATATATATAGCATATGATTGTTTGTTTTATTCGGAGAGAGAGAGAGAGAGACACTACTACATTACAAATTTTTAAATTAGAAATTGAAAACGTATTTTTATTACAATAAAACATAGCCTATGTTATGTTACTCTGGGATAGTGTAGCTTTCTATTACTGACTAAATGTTTAAAATCGGTATAATAAATAAATAAATTTTACCTATTTATAACATTAGAATAGAGTGCTATAAATAATAGATTTTAATCAATAATAAAACCACCATCGTTGATTACTACTTATTCTTATTTATCAGGAAAGAAGATCCTAAAATATTAACACTTTTTAGGTAGAGCACTTTTCTTTCGAAAATATAGAAATTGACAAAATATTTTGAAGATCTTAAGTAACAGAATTATAGAATAAATATATCTTTTAAAATTCAAAATTAAAAATTGCTATCTACAGGGGCTTTCCCAAAGGAATGATTATTTGTTATCTGATACGAAAGTTACTTATGAATCAATCCTACAATACTATGAAGTGTATACGTGCTGTATGATTTTGTCTTGGAGTGTACACTATTTCATCGACAGGAACCGTTTCGGATTAGTTCATTCGCTCCCGTCGATCGTTCTCTGCAATCCGACTAGGAGCTGATGAGTTCCGTTCAAGCTGTCACGATGATTTGAAATTTAAATTTGATTTACGCCATTCGCGCTTAATCGCCCCTGTGCTTAATTTCTCAAGTGAAAACCTTGTAAAAAGGTTTTAAATGTTATTACCGCTAATGAGTTCCGGGCTAACGAAGCCCTGTAAACATGGGATTAATTTGCCACGCGATGTCCATTGTTCTGTAGAAAATTGCCATTTTGTACGCAGTTCGTCGTTCTCATTTACATGAACCTCTAGTTTTCTCGGTTAAATGTATTCGAAAGCGATTTCTTGATAGCCGCTGAATTTTGTTTGTCATCGAGAGATTTTATCATGTCGAAAATATGATAATTTGATGAGGTCATATTAAAGGAGTACCGCAGGTAATGTTACTATGGGGTCGTAACGGATTTTTTTATCAAACGTCCAGCTGTTTTGTGTTTACATAATGAACGTTTATGGAATGGTTGAAAATAAGACGACGACGTTACATGCTTCGTTAAATGGTTATTAACGTTACTGGTACGTTTCACATCTAACAGTAACACGACTTTTTATTTCCAAATGGCAAACAAATTTTTAGATAAACGAACTGTTATCGCGAAATAGGTATTCAAAATGACTAATATTTCAAGAAAAGACTTGATTGTTTGAAAATATTATTACATAATAGATTTTAATCAATAATAAAACCACCATCGTTAATTACTACTTGTTCTTATTTATCAGGCAAACAGAAGAAGGAGGGAAGAAAAGAAAGAAAGAAGATCCTAAAATATTAACACTTTTTAGGTAGAGCACTTTTCTTTCGAAAATATAGAAATTGACAAAATATTTTGAAGTTCTTAAGTAACAGAATTATAGAATAAATATATCTTTTAAAATTCAAAATGAAGGAATATCCCTCTAAAGGTTTGTATTCAGTCAGTTTGATAGAACATTTTCAATTTTTTAATATAATTTAGTAAAAATATTTTGTTCTTTATAATTTAAATATTTTTACTAAATAATATTGAACAAATTCAAAATTCTATCAAACTGATTGAATACAAAACAGTAGAGGGTTATTCTTTTATTATGGATTAAAAAATAGACTTTCTCTAAAATCCTTTATATTTTAAATTTTATAATTAAATATTTTACTGTCCTTTATATTCTAGATATTTTAATGAAATATTTAAAATTCAAAATAAAAGAATACACCCATAATATTTCAAAGTTGCTATCTTTCTGGCCACTACTTTCAGTGTGTCTGTAACCAATCATTTATTAAATATTTCAGCCTTGCTCAATAAAACAGGATAACAAGTTTTCTCGGTGATACGTCGTCCTTCCTCTTCGTTAGAAAAAGTGACTCGCGACATCGGCACTGTTTGCTTGGTCGTTTGATGTCGATTAACCGTAGCGTCGCTAATGCCGTCCTGACAAACTGTTTCCAGAAGAAGGGTGTTCGTGCCTTTTAGCCACGTGGCGTTATCAGAATCGGCGATCGACAGCGCTTAGGTCACCACTGCTAGAATTGGTCGTGTAGGGTCAACTGGATGCAAATGGAACTGGTCGAGAGCTTGATAAATCGTTTCGCCGGGTGTTTTCCTCGACATTGCCGACTTTGATTCATCGTAGAAGCTTCAAAACGTGGTCAATACCGTTAAATGATCTTCAAACGCCGATAGAAAAATCCAATGTTATCAGTGAAATTCAAACTAAGGTGTGTCGTGAATTTTTACTTATGATTTTCGTCGTTTCATTCATTTCGCAGCGTTTAAAGTGCTTCAGGTTTGTTGTCTTCATTCTATGTTTTGAATTCTTTGTCCTGTACTTTCACACATGATTTTCGTCGTTTCTTTCATTTTGCAATGTTGAAAGGCTTCAGGCTTGTCAAGTTCTCATTCTATGCTTTTAATTCTTCGTATGTATGCTATAAAGTATATACATACTCTGCTATTTGTGAACTCAAAGGAAGAATATTTCACCGTTTCACCATTTCGAAAACTTTTAAGAATGTACATACATAATATAAATGATTTGTTTACATATTTGTTTACTGAGACTTTTTACAGTATAGGTTATAAATAACCTACAATAACAATGAATCAACCCAATAATAAGCTTACGAAGATGGAAACTGTTCGAAATGAATGCTAGCATGTATGTAACAAAAATCAATTAATTGAATTACATTGTTACGTGCCGACAATTTGATTTTTATTTTTCTTGATTTCGTTGGCAGGAATGTGTTCGAGATGGTTTACCATCCCGAATTCGTTCTAATCAAACACAAACCAGGCATTTGACGGTAGTTTGTTAAATTCAATAATGAGAAAGAAAACACATTCCCTCCTTCAAATCAACGTCGTCACGTCACTCTCACTTTGCTGGCAGCGCCGCACCGCGGATAAATATATAAGTGTGTAAATATGTAAATATAATAGTATGTACGCGTTGCGTTTCCCGAAAGTTATGCGTTAATTATTATATCTCTACGCGCCGTGGAAAAGGAAAAGCACGCAAAGTATTATCGCCACATTCAAATATCTGTTAAACATTTAATACGACGCCGACGGTTACAGATATTGCTTAAAGGAGAAACATGTAAATAACACGACATCGAGTTAAGCATTTCTTTTGCCGTTTCTTCATGCCGAACGTTCTGGAAACTAAACTATACCTTTGCAGACGCCACGAAACGTTGTCGCTTGGACGAGTTGAACAGCTTGGCGGGCACGCGACGCGAGACGGGGTATAACCCGTGAACACCGAATTTGTGCGCGTACCAAGTCAAGGAAGATCGAAAACTTTTTCTAATAACGTTCCTTCGATCACGTGTTTCTAGATCCTTTGTCTTGAAACCTTCTAGAACGTTCGACAGAGTTTACGTGGTTGAGCAAAGCGCGAGTCGAGGGGACTCTTCATCGTACAGCCGCGACGAGCGCGATAATTAGTCCGATCGAACAATTTTGAGCGTAGTTTGTCTTACTGTAAAATTCATTGTGAAGCAAGTGGTAGGCAAAGGACTCTGTTCGTTCGTTAAATATCCTAGTTAGTAGCTTCGTTTTATTTCTTTTTATTATCTATTTAATTAATTTAAATATAATTATTTAGAAGTTCTCTTTCTTTGTAAAATATAATTCAATAGTTTAACAATTCTTTCACGTGTGTCTGTGCTTTTCCTCCGATCAGGACATCCGACATCCAGCATCGCTAACCCGAGCGATCTCATCGATAGTTGAGATAGAAGTTTCAGTCGTAAGTTGCTGTTCTTTAGCATAATATATTTTATATATGAATTTATTGTTTGTGAACACTCGGAATATCAATAAATTGTATTGATTTCCGGGGAAACCCTCATTGGTGTTCTCGGGTAGTACTTCTATTTCAATTTCGTGTATAAAGTCATTTCGACGATCTTATATTGTGTTTCCATATTATATGGAATTACTATTTGTGATAACTGAGATATCAATAAATGATATAATTGATTTCCGGCGTGACCCTAGTTGATATCCTAGAAACAAATATAAATAAAATATAATATATATATATTTTTTTTTTCACTGTTTTTCTTTATTAAGTATGTATCTATATTTTTGACGATTTCATATGTGTATTTTTTGTATGATTCAATTGAGAATGAAAGTGTGTTTTCAAACGAAATTATAATTACAAACATATTGTCTCGATTAAATCGTTCAAATTATACCATTGTATTATTAAAATCGAATCACGAAACTGTCAATAGAATAAACACTGCAATTCCGTATTTAGAGTAAATCATTTTAATAGTTTATATTAACCGTTCGCATCCGCAAAAATCCCAAATCCTAAATTAAGACCTAGAAGCTCACATACGAGTCAGGGCCCGTACGGGACTGTAGCGACAAAGACCTGACCTTACCGATAGGCAAGTAAAATATATATAAATATAGTGTTGTTTAATTTGATGGGTTTATAAATTTTAAATGGAGAAAGCGGTGACGTGGAAATCTCATCCTACGTCATACATCGCAATCATTTTTTCTTTCCACTGTATGGCTACGAGTTCTTCAGTTTTAAATATTTTTCAAGCATTTGCTTTGACTTGGCAGCCGTGACTTTAAAAAGTCAACTAGTACCAAAGGAAATGTTAAGATCTAATTTTTTAATTAAATTAATCGAACTTTTAATGCGAAGGGAAATAGGAAAATTTCACTCGAGAAGGGTGCACTAAATCTGCAGTGCAGATAAAATGCATTTGCTACATAAAACATCTCAATACTTTTGAGAAATATTAAAGATTCAAGGGATTCATATTAGTTCCTCGCTCTTTATGTTATACATATATACTGTATACAAACCAAACTATATGTATGTATATGTACTACAAAACGTATAAATCTTACAAGCAATTCACATAGTATTCACTGACATTACATAAGTAATTCCAACGTTTTCGACAACTTTTTTTGACATCTGTATAAATGTAACGAATCATTAAAAGAAGAGGGAGGAAGAAATAATAACACATTATTCGTATACATTACGGCGCCGGCGTACACATTATTCAAGATTGTTATTTGCATTATTTTCATCACACATTTCTAATATTTTTTGTATATTCTCAATCGATCGAAAGAATGGTCGAAAACGTTTTAATGTTTATTATTTTATATAAAAATAAATATAATGATATATAAGAATGAAGTATTAAAAAATTATAGAGATAGATAGATAGATAGATAGACAAGTTTATTCCCGTTGTGGGGTACATACGAGGACCTCCGCTTCGCGGAAAAAATTATATTTAATTTAACGTTTGTAAATAATATACAAACATTACTTATGCAGTATCAACATGGCCTAAATTGCTTGGAAATACCCAGAAGTTATTTTACTTGAAAATTGTATTGACAAACGAAGGAACGATTATTCGCGCTACTATTATTATAAGCGTATCCTCGACGAAGGAAATGTCACGAAACGTATAGGAGATCCTGCCGTTTGGCACGAACGACTTCGTTATTACGTGACATTTTCTCCCAGAAGCACGCGCCGACTAGGTGAACCAGATAGACGGAAGTATTTGTAAGAACGTGATTTCGAGCTTATAGGGGCTGCGGAGCTCGTGTAAATCCGATTCCCAGCGACTCCGGAAAATCGTGATGTATTTTAGCTACCCTGCAGTCGTTTAACATCCACGCGAATACATGTTATTTTCGCCCTTGTGACGTGTCTGTGCCGTGTGGGCACCGCGATACAAATGCAACGGGCGACGCGGAAATCGTACAAATCGAAATCGAAATCGAAAATTATAGTCAGCTCCTGGAAGCCAAAGGAACATATAAGTAGAGATTAATGAGAGCAGTAGAATGTTCACATGTAAATAATCGCAGCGGAGCGATCGAACTGATAGAACGCGTGACACGTCGTATTGTGTCGACGTAACAAGACGCAAAAGGTTTCATTTCGATTGGTCAAATCATCTCGGCGTAATCGGTGGACATACCTTCAAAAAAAAAAAAATATACATGTCGAATTGAGTAACCTCTTTTCGAAGTCGGTTAAAAACAAAGGCACATCGACATTTTCGATCTATCGCCAAGAATCTTTGAGATGATACATTCATTGTGATCTTCGAATTCTAGCAGTAAAGGAAGAAATCACTAATTAAACCCTGAAGCATCATTTATAACAGCCCTGGCCAACACGCGGCCCGCCACGTTAAATTGTGCGGCCCGCCGGGTGATTTTAAATTTCTATTGAAACTTTTGTTTCTCGGTGTATATGTACAAAAAATATTAAATAAATGAAAATTTGCATGTGTCATTGCTACAATCCGCAAGTGCGATTACGAACTCCAGTTCTATATCTGATATCTACGAACGCCAAATGTTACTGAATGAATAGGTTTCAATAGGCAACCATTAGTAAGGTTCATTTGTAATTTGAATGGAGTTATGTAATAAATGAATAAAGGAACAATCCACACATTTTTGCTCTTAGTAATAGAGGAGAGTGAAACAATGACGTCGAGTGGTATTTTGTATATGTATTATATTTTTTAGCCTAGTGTTAATGTTATTTTTTAACTTACATGTTTACCTAAAGTTCGGCCCGCTATATCGTTACGCGCCATCGAAGTGGCCCGTGAAACTACATACAGTGGGTGTAGAAAGTATTCGTACACCGATCAATTTTCAAAAAAACTATGTAAAATTGTAATCTATTAACTTATTTTTTATATACAATGACATTCTACATATTCTCGGAAATCTCTAGAATAGATAGAATACAAAAAAAATAGCTATTTATGTAAGTTGCGAAATTAATAAGAAAAAAACAATTTATCTGTAGAAATGTTGAAGCAATAAGTATTCGCACATTTGTTTAATTTTTAAAACTTCATTAAAAAAAAGAAATTTACATTAATTTACGAGGGACGTTTCTGCTCGGCACACACATTTTCAACCATACAGCCGCTTTCGTTAGGGGGATCACCATCATAAAGTCTACAATGACGATCGGCTATTATTATGGTTGTCCATTGTGTCTACTAGCGAGCGGATCACTCTGTACAATCGTCTACAGACTATTCTTAACACTTTATCAGCCGGGCTATTTAGAAACAGTCTTTAATTCAGAAAAGAATTTTCTACAATAGTATATGCCAATCTAGTCAAGCCTCTTTCCAAACACTGATCATTATAAGTAGACAGTCATCGATACAGTAAATAAATTCGAATAGCTAAATACTGCAATTAAAAAGCCTATAAAAGGTTCCCAGTAAATAAAGTGTTAACGAGTGGTGCAATTACTATGGCCACTATGTAAACTTTGTCATGGCTTATCCAAGAGTTCGCGCTGTTTCTGGCTGCGAGAACGTCGCCGTTGGCCGACGCCGACGCGACGCCACGTCCCATTGTCTCTCGACAGCTGCCCGAGACGAGAAAGGAAATATGAAACAGAACAAGCAACAATATTCTCAGATTTATAGCTAACACCAAACGTCTCGCCATCGAAGACGAACAGAAGAGTAGTTTTACCTTCTGGATCAACACGAACCGACGTTTCCAACAGCGGAGTCAACTTCGCTTATTCAAACGGGCCTGAATACTTAACCCGGGAGCGCGTGAATTTAAAATGATATTTACAGGAGGAACGGGGACAAGCGAGGATAACGAATAGATACTGGAACGAAAAAAGAAATATTCCGCGAAGATAAATGCGAAGAAGAAATCACAATCGTAAAATATCACCGGGAATTGTAGAGACGAGTTTTGTTCGAGAATTATATTACTATTACTCTTTAATTACTTATTAGTTTTGTTGGAGACCCGTTTAATTCTATTTTTATTTTATTTTAGTTGACATTAGAACTGTAATACTAATACCAGTCAATTTGTCTGATCTATTTTGAACTTTATCAGTCAAAATCTTTCCATTTCAGTGACTATACAAAATATCATATTATTTTTTTGTAAAATATACTATTTTCTTAAAAAAAGAAATATTTGATGAAGATAAACACGAGAAAGAAATCACAATCTTAAAATATCATTGGGGATCGTGGAGTTTTATTGAAGTATTACAATTCCTTTACCTTCTAGCTATTTATTACTTTTGTGAAAGCCTCATTTGATTTGATTTGATTTTCATTTTATTTTAATTGTCAATGAAACTACATAGCCGATTAATTTGATGCATTTCGAACTTCTTCAGTCAAAATTATATCTTTTCAGAGAATATATAAAACGTCATATTTTTTTGTAAAATATACTTTTTTTTTATAATTTATGATGCACTTTGGTATTTTAGTGAAGTGTGAATAAAAAACGCAGTATTCTGATAACACAGTCGTAAATGTATGACATCTCGTTTTGCGAATACTTTCATTTAAAACCAGCAAGTTACTCGAATTAATACGTTTTGAAATTGACCTCTAATGGCACTATCAAACGGAGCACTCACCCTAGATTACAACGGGGAAGGGTATTAACATCAGGTACCCATTTATTTACATTTTACAGCGCACTTTTGAATAATCATACTCGTCATCATTCACTATCAACTCTGTTATAAACTATGCGTAATGAATTTTAACATTTTTGTCATGATTTATCTAGCGTAGAATATTATAATATTATCTCAATATTTATTATTGAAGCATACATAGATGCGTGTAGTAACTATTTGTCGGAATCTTGCATTGCAACGTAGGGAATATTTACATTTCTTTGATGAATTTTAATCGACATTTTTGTAAAGACTCACCTAGCACAGAATATTCCCACCTAGCAATAACTGGCTCATATGAATTTTCCTTTATCGCTTTTCATTCTCGAACGTCACAACGTTCCTCTAGTGTATACCCCTGAGTTCCTTCATTTCCCTTCATGTACACCTTATATCCTTTCTAATAATCATTTCATGGACCAGTTAATACAGTACTCAACAACATTTATCAAAGCTGATGAGAAAAACCGTGGAAAAATTTTGACTGGACATTCGGGGACTTGAATCCAGGTCATTATTGTCGAAAGGGAGTATGGGGAGGGTGTACTGTATACGTACACGGAACTGCAACGGCTTGCGTATTGTCCTATTTTTGTCTCGATAATGCAAATTTGAGACCTCTCAATAGTCGTTTCCGCTAGATAAATGTTCAAACTTGTGCGCAAACTCCTATAGGTAGTCTACTTTTGCTTTTTTGTGTCATAATTAATAATATTCAGCAGTATTTCGCGATCAAAAGAAGCAATATGGTGACGCGACAGTGCTGCCGCGTTGTCTGAACTAACTTTGCTGAAACATACGCTGCTGAATATTATTAATTATGAGACAAAAAAGCAAAAGTAAACTACCTATAGGAGCTTGCGCACAAGTTTGAACATTTATCTAGCGGCAACGACTATTGAGAGGTCTCAAATTTGCATTGTCCAGACAAAAATAGGAAAATTGCAAGCCCTTGCAGTTCCGTGTACGTATGCAGTAATGTGGAGCTGTGTGAGTGAGTACGAGCCATACAAGGCACGGGAGTGCACTCCCTTAACTGTTCTAGCGAGACACTCGTAGCATAGAATATTATTATTGCAATATTTATTATTGAAGCATACACACATACATGTAGTAACCATAGACATATGAAAATGTAGACCGAACATAAACTGCTGCTATAGGTAAGAGGGGGTCGGATATTCGGGGTGTAGAAAGCATCCGTCTAACGTCGATTTATTCCGGCAAGACTCGCCAAATATTCGGCTCACATTTCACATGTACACGTACCGTACTGTGAATGTGTCAAAGAAAACATATGAAGATATAGACCGACCTTTATACGAGGGGTAACTGATAATCAGTGATCCTCAATCTGTTTTTTTCTGAAAATTGAAACTAATATTAACCATTCTGTAACACTATTTTGGTTATTTAATATATTTTTCTTACTATTATGCACATACAAGAATATATTAAATAACCAAAATAGTGTTACAGAATGGTTAATATTAGTTTCAATTTTTAGAAAACGAAACAGATTGAAAATCACTGATTGTAATATCTAACTACGAAAAGCCGAATATACCCGAGCGATTACGAAAATAGTCGAAGTCGGATACGTTCCCTCTCGCCGCGATTTTCAGTTACCCCTCGTATATACAAAGGCTCGGTCTATATTTTCATATGTCTATGGTAGTAACTATTTGTTAGAGTCTTTAATTGCAACGTAGGCAATGTTTATATTTTTTCAATGAATTTTAATCGACATTTTTGTCAAGAGTCACCTAGCATAGAACACTATTATTACATACAACATCGTCGAATTCTTTCCAAAATGAACAGTCACATACATTAATACAAAACGTACGATATCTCGTTTAGCGCCTCTTTATCAACAAAAATGCATACAGTAAAAGCTGTTCGAACTGGAATTTAGAAAATCTTTTGTCTGCTAAAAATCATCGATACGATACACAAGAACCGAGATATCGGTCCTTTACTACCTCCCATACGAATTGCGTTTATTCGTGTTTCAAAAACAAATAGAACAAAACAAACGTGTACCAGCTGGCGCTAAAATAATTTTCCAACGATCCAGTAGTACTCGAAACGAGTATTGGTTCAGTAACTCAAACGAGAAACATGTTGCACGGTTGTATCTAAAACTCATACATCGTAGACCTAAAAGCTCGCCAACGGATATAAATATTTGGCGCTGGCTAGATAAAACGTACACCCAGTCAAAGGTCAAGTTACGTATTGCACAATCCACGTGCTACTTTAAAAGCAGTACACCCGTAGGATCCGCCCTCAGCCACAGCGGCAATATATCTCCTGCATTCTCGAGGAAAAATCGAGGAAAGGAAGCAGAGAACCAGAATGGGTAATACATCAAAGAGACTAAGTCCGAAAACAATTTCAGCTACAAAACAAGCGCAGGCTTGGAGATGCATGCATCGTCAAATGAACAATTTAAAATCCGTTCATTACAATCGCGGAGAGCGAGAAAAGGAAAAATATCGCGACAACGCAATGAATAATCCTGCTTCACAAATCTAGTTCTCTGACAGGTTCAACGTTGACGTGTTGCCACACTCATGACGTTGGGATTTTCGTAATGAGTTCCTTTGGAGTTTTGTTGTTTTTACAATGAGTTCCTATTATTATTCAACGCAAAGACAAAGTAACGGTATGCTGATTGTAATTTATTTTAACACAAGAAATTGTAGTGGACTTTTTAGAATAGTCATTAGTTTAACAATATTTACGATATTCGTAGAACAAGAATTTCATATTTACTTAGAAAGATGTTTCTCTAAAATATTTATATTTATAATGTGTGATAATAAATATTGTAAGTATTTATTGTAGGATAAATTCTGTAAGAAAATCATAATCGGCGCGCTTTCGGCCATCTTAACGATAGATCAAAGATGGAGTCACATAAGCATGTACATAACAATTTCAGCAAGAATACTTTCTATCCACACATGAGCACGTCACATTCTAGCATGTAACGTCTAATTATTTGCGTTTCGATGGTGGATTCATCGAAATGTTGATCCACCTAACTTCAACGTTTGCACAGTCTCAAGAACAGCTTTCAACTCCGTAGGAAACGGTTAGGGAAGTTGTGTTAGAAGCTGTGGTCCGTGAGGCTGGGAGAGCAAACCGTCTCGTGAACGGGAAACGAATCACACGCTTGGGAAATCTTGCGTGATTTAATTTTGCATTCTTTCGAGAAGCATCTCGGACGATATGAAACGAGCCTAACCGACCATGTGATAATTTTTCCCAACGTTTCATCACGGGAAGCGCTCTGGGCATAATTTATTACATGACGTAATTTTGACGAAACTTTGCAGACACTGACGACTTTCTCATTAAATTGTCGAGGAACAAAGCGGACAGGAGAAATAATAATAAATAAATGTGGAAAAATGTAAAATAAAACGTGCAGAATTTGTTATGGAAGAAGTGGAATTCGTGGTATGTCTAGAGAGAAGAGATTCTACGTGAACAACATTGAACATTCTTTAGGTATGCTGGGCACGTACGACTTGGCTAGCGTGTCTGACCACGAATCACTACTGTTTTTACTTGTTACATTTATATATTTGTTTGCATTAATAGATGAAATTGTGATGTTTTAATTTTATCTTAGCATTTATAAGGTTTGAGTATGGATAAGAAATAAATAATACCATCGTGAATTGTTTTCGAGGGTTTATGCAAGTAGAAACAACGAACAGTGGTCAAACACTGTCATTAGGAAAAACTTGGCTGGCGTGTCTGACCATAAATCACAGTTTCTACTTCCCATATACATATACATATTTATAAGCATCTACATTAAAATTGGATTGTACTCTGCATATTTGAATTTTATCTTATCTTTCATGAAGTAGGAATATGGATAGAAAAGAAATGCTATTACCAATGTGAATTGTTTCCATGCCAGTAGAAACAGCGAGTAATGGTTAGACACTTTAGTCAAGCTGTATTCAATCGAAAACGCAACTCGTAAATTTTCATGGAATGGAACCCTGTGATAAAAACATTTTATTACAAATGTTATCTCTCTTTGTGTTTATTTATATGCGTGACTGTATGTGCCTATTATATACAATAAACACCAAACAATTATATGTACATATAAACACTTATTTCCATTTAAAAACATATAACTACATGTTTCTAAGTAAAAATAAATACATACGCTTATTTATTCTACTTATTCCATTACATAAATGAAGACCAAGGGGAAACCCCCTTGGTCGAATTTTTATCAAAATTGAAACATGCATGCCATCTAGCGGAAAAAGAGTAGAGAAATCGATTAATGCAATCGAAAAATAGATATAATTAATCATTTTGACAGAACAGGGAGGGAAAAAATGGCTGTAAGGAGGAAAAACTAATTATGTCCATTTTAGTTAGATATCCGTTATTGTTTGTTTTTCAATAAAATGGTTACCAGCGTAACTTTTTTTTTCACCTGATTCTTAAACTGGATATATTAAACTTCAAAATATATATTTTTGCCGAACTTTTAAACCACTATTAATGCCCCTAGGAGTTACGTAAACTACAATCACGATTTTCTCAATTCTTTAATTTTTGGACATAATGAGTTTTTCCCCCTTGGTCTTCAAATGTATACAGACATATATTTTTTATTGAGATAAGTATGCATATTTCAAGTTACAATTAAAACCATTTTAATTTAATTCTCATACAGATTTAAAAAAGTCGTTTCTTATCAAATTTTCAATTTTCCAATTCGTAAGTAATTAATATAAATAAACCCACCGAATTTGATTCATCTGATGCTCTGCATCAGTTGGACACTCCTTTAAAAAATAATTATTATCATCGAACACATTATTTTCATATCAGCATGAGCTACATTGAAACCAACATGGAAAAGCGAAAAAGAACACGTCCGTTTTCCAAAGAAAAGTAAATATAACCAATTCACGGGCATAAAAATTCATAACCTATAAAGCGGAATTCAAGAGAAGCGAGAGGGAATTCAACGTAGATATAAAGAATAATGGATGAACATTTTTAAGTAAGCCGAGAAACGAGCATCGTTCCTTCGAGACACGGATATATGTATAGGTAAACAGACTAGAAGTTGAGGAGTGAATTCGTGGGGATGGCCACTGACGAAGGAAATAAGGGAAGAGGAAAAAGCGCCGAGTTTCTAAGAGACTTGTCTTCGAGAATGTTTTCAATTTCCTCGTTTCTTATACCGTGGACTTGTTCTCCTCTTCAGTTAAATAGGATAGTTTTGTCTCGAGTAGCTTCGAATCCTGCTGAAATCGCTATCTTTCCGCGACGTATCCTTTTATGCATACGAAACATTTCTCTAGGCGATATTTTGGTGACGCGAGCCTTCGCGTGCAGGAAAGTTACATGCCATTATAAAAAGTTACTTAATTTTACGTAACAGAATGCTCGTCGGTTTTAATTCTATTCCAGTGTCCTCAAGAACGCGGCTGAAAGAGACAGACAATCACCCTCTCCCTCTACTTGTTGTGTGCCGGATAATTAATTACATAAAATAAACAATAATAGCTAGACACTTGTTACGCATTTCTAATTTGCGACATCAGAGACATGGTTTCATTCCTATAAATAAATTAGAAATATGCATCTTAGTTTGAGAATTTTTAATTAGACGATTAGAAATTATAGATGGACAATTTCTAAACGAATTTAATCTCAATTTGTTTGACTGTTATACCATTCGGGTGGATGTATCTTTCAAAGGCTTCAACCGATGAATTTTGTACCTAGAGTCGATATTTTCTCTCAGCCTTCGGAGTATTTGCTACAATCGTGGGTAGCGTGTTCGAAGATGTTTGAAAGGATCAAGGGCAGGAAATATGACAATATTTTCCGTTGGTAAACATCGATTCAACACCCACGCGAATGTAGCAGGGTAGTAAAGGTTTTTCTGGAAATTCGGGATAAAGACTCGCATCAAAAGAAAATCTTGTTTCTCTGGTAAGTACATTGTAGGAAAGATTGCAGTTTCTATGGAGGGACGCATGCCAAAGCGTTTTACATTCTGTTCGATTGAATTCAATCGCATTGCGTTATGGACTGTTTGCGCCGATATGAACAGTACTTGTATACGAGAATTTCTGTGTTCTGCGTAACATGCAATGTAATTTATAGAGTATATGCAAGTGAAGAATCAAGATTTGTGAAAAGAAAAACAGAATTGAGAATAAAATTTATAAAAATATCAAATTTTTACGGCATGAAACCGACTTGGTTTGTACAAGTATGTGTGTCAGGCATGAATGATCAAACTTACATACATATATGTAGATAGAAAGCGTAGTTAGATAATAAAGTATCTATGGGAATCATGAATAATAATATTATATCAACAATTTTTTTATAATGACTACTAATTAATAACTCAGACATGAATGTAAAACATATGACAATCTACAACAAAACAGAAATTGTTTTATTAGACAACAGCTCAGTGCTAAATATTATTTAGTACACACTGTAGTTCATTCTTGTTTTATGATAATAATGAATGGTATCAGATCAATATAATATTAAAAATATGCGGTACTATTTGCATTGCAAAATTCGAGAAGGGAGTACGTCAATAGAAACTATCCTCGAAAAATCTCACAATCAGTCGAACAGTCGAATCACGTTTTCTCGCGTTTATTGACGAGCAATTACTTTGCGAACATGCATGATTATGACGCGCCGAATCAAGTACGTCGTTCGTTCTCGAATTTAAAAAAATTCCAACAAACCTGCCCGCGAATTCGAGTGGAGATGCATGCGCTGAATTTTAAAAAAGATAGAATTGCACCAAGTTATCAGCTGGCCATTAAAACGCAGAACACGTAGGAAGATACATAGCCCCGACAGTTTCATTGAAAGTTTTGAACTTTAAATACGAACAGATAAGATCGCGAAACTTGAACAAATATAGCTACACGATCGACCACTGGAAGAAAATGTTACTTCAATCAGGGACGTGGCTAGCATCAGAAAAAAACAGAAAGAGATTATGTTACAAATTATGTTATGTGTTTAGAATATAGATACTTTAGTATAATGAATATATCTATGTATATTATAAATTTATAATATAGTTTAAAATGTAATTAAAATAAATGTAGTTAATATAATCTATAATATAAATATGTGTAACAGGTATTTTGTATTATTAAATAAGTCTATATTAAAAAACTACAAGGTAGTTTAAAATATAATTTGAATGTATAATACAATCTATAATATACATATCAATAATAGGTATGTAACAGATATTATATTGATAAGAATAGATGCTTTGTATTAATAAATATATTTATATTATAGTTGTTACGGTTTTAATGTATGCGTATATTTATTCTCAAAACGTTGCCTACAGACGGGTCGAGACAGACTGACTTAAAACAAAAAGAATACATATTTATAAGGTCAAGGCGCGAACACATACACATACTTCCATACCCAGGCACACAAACACATAATTAAGAAACGGATACATATATATTCTCAACAATAGTATTAGTATAATTAAAATAATATAGATATTTTAATAGATTATATTATGGATAGTATACTCCGCAAAGAGAATAAACTATAACTAACTGTTATGGATAGTATTATATTATGAATAATAGATTATATTATGGAATTATAATATAGATACATTTTTTAGTGTAGAGTGTCTATTATTCTAATATAGAATATCTACTACATATCCATCATGTAGATACTTATATTATAGATTATATTCCATATTTACAATATAAATATATATCTGTCAATATCTTCTAGTATCTTTAATTATGTTTATTTTACACATGGTATCATACTGTAATATAGATTCTCATATGTTTGATGCCTCATAAAACCACAAAGAAGTTACAAAGGGTGTCATTAAAATGATTCAGAATAATAAAACAAATAATCACAGAAGAATGATATTTCCAAACGACACGAACTACGAAATTACTTTTTCAAATGCTAGGACAGAATCCGTGGAAACAATGGCGGGTAAACAATAAGACTTCCACCCAGGGGACAATTGATTGCAATCAAGGAGATGCGATACCAATCAGAACGTTCTTAAGTAGATTATCTTCGAAACAAAAGTTTCATCTTCTCCGGCGTAGATTTTTCAGAATTTCGCCATCAATTCGAGCCCGCCGTTGTTGCGTGTAATCGATTGTTTCGTGAGCGTGGGAAGGGGCGGCACTCGACACACAATCGTGACCGAAACTTTTCCAAGCGCTTTCCGCCTTCTTCTTTTCGTATTTTCCCCGTCATGTTGCAAACTTCGTAAACTCAGTTAAGTTTGCGTCCGAGGCTCCGGAGACGAGAAAACTCGAAATTGGGTATAACTCGCCGCGAAGCGTAGAAATCCGAATTCGTGCGGCATTTCAAATAAATATTAACAACGGGAATACACGGCCAGGTATACACACACGTACTTGTATCCATTTAGGCCACATTTCGCTCGCTCGTGAACGTGGGGGTTATATCTATTTGTGGAGACGAGTTAGAGGATTCCGCACACCCCAAATGTTCCCACGTGATTTAAATGTCAAACGTGTAGCTACGGTACAACATTTACATTTGCTGTCAAAATTTCATTCATGCTGAGAGATTATCTATTTACTAGCTTCTGGCTGTGTGGAATATACGGGAATAATTATACGGGAATAATATTCTTTGAATTAATTCTCTCTATTGGGTATATCTATTTTAGGCGTTTGGCTGAGATGAGGACAGAAAATGTAGAGAAATCTATTCGAAGATTTCTCCAGCCTGAATTTTGGCACTTACTATTTTCCAAGTTGAAATTGTACGTGTTTTTCGACGGGAAATATTTATGAACGTGTATCGCAGTGTAATAGTGATTTTAGAGAGTCCTAATTGCGAGGTTAGAATCTTTTTATGAAGGAAATACTTTTTCCCTGTAGTTTAGTCAGATGCTGAACAATCACGCTAAATTAAATTTTGAGAGTTTGCTTGATATCAGAACTGGGAAATTTCCAAATGACATTCTTTGAAATAACACGTTCTTATTTAATTAACAAATTGTGTACCTCTACTGCAAAGACTTATTCTTTTGAAGATTATTTCTTTCGTTACATTTGAAATAGTAAAATAACTAAATAATTCAGTAATTTCGAATAATTTCAGATGAATCAACGTCCTTCTCCTTTTTAAATAACTATCGAAAATAATGATTCAAAATAAATGTTAAAACATTTGTAGTTTCGCATTTTCGTTTCAATTAAATCCATGTTGATTATCATAATATGATTAACATGATATATGATGTAATATATAAATTATTTATATTTGTACTACGTAAATGACGATGAACCTAATAAAATAACGCAATAATTTGCTATTTGATATATTTCAAATGAATGGATTCTATTATTACCATCAAATACATAATTACGCTGAAAATAACCACCCAAAATAAATTATTATTTTCATTACAATGTAAATTTGTCCAGGTCTGATTACCATCAATAAGATATTGTTAATATCATTTCAGTCACTTAAAGGTAAATATTTGAAATTTGACATGAATTCGCGATGATGACTCTATTGATGTTCATCCTTTCAATACATTGCAATGCTACTCCTCAGAAGCTGTAACTATATTTAATTGTAGCTACAGTACGGATTTAGCAATCCCGAGGTACACGAGCTATAGGAGTGCCAGTAGGGTCCAATAAATTATTCGCACTCTTAAGGGGAAAATTATGAAGAAAGGTATCTAAGAAAATACAAATTAATGTAAAGCAAGAATTAAATGGATGTAAAACATGAACAAATGCTAGACTGGTACATTAGGTGTTATAATCAAGCTATAGAACTTCGCACTTTTATAGATAAAACTGTTAAAGACACAATTTGAAAACCAAATCCGTTATTCAGGATTAATCTTTTAACGCTGACCTAGATTACGTTGATATCGTAATTCTTTAAATATGTATTGAATTTCTAATATCTTGACTTAATATGGTTTGCTCCCGAGATACAGATACGTTGATTTTTAATACCTTTAATTTTATTAATAGAATTTCACGTATTATCGTATTCACTTTCACGTCTTAAAATAGAAAAACAGGAAAACAAGGAAAACAAATCTAACCAAGAAAGTGGTAAAAATACTATACATGTCTCCGTATTTCCAAACTATCATATTTCACGTACACCAATGCATACGGAGTGTTCATTAAAATACCAGCATAATATTTTTAATAATAAGTATTATAATTTAATAGTAAGTATTAGAGAAAAATTATAGAAGAAAAAGTTTGGTAGTCTCCCACGACAAACATACTGGCGTATATCAATTTTTTTATATTAGTAATATATTTAGAGAAACGGTAACCACTAATTTTTTAAATAAGATATTATTAAGTTCGTTTCCAAAGGCTGTCCGTTAGCAAAGTCACTGAAACCACATCACCGAAAACGTTGAATAAAAGGAAGAAGATGAAAGCTCAGCTTTTCAATTGCAATTCGTTTAAAAATACAGCTTCGAGAAGGCACATTTCCCTCCTGCCGCATGTCCCGATATTTCGACATAGCGAAACACAGCGCGTTTCAAGTGAAAAGCCCTTTCCGTATGAAAAGCGGTTATAGCTCTTTGTCACCTCTGAATTTCTGCT